TATATATTCACACACACATATATAAAAACATACCAACAGGCTAATATTTGGGTATAATTAAAACAATATTTTTTACTTACCTGTATTTTCCATGATAAATTATGTTATGTGTATGATAAGAAAAGTGGCAAACATTTTCATATTTTTTAATGACAAGGTACTTGTTTTACTTGGGTACATGCTAAAGGTCAATTTTCTGATATCGGAAAACATCAAAATGACCCTCTTGAGGTGCAGACACTCCTTTTACTTTATGATTTTCAGTATTTATGTCTTATTTAATCAACTAAACAAATGCAAACTGAAATAATAGTATCGGGTTCTCATGTTTGCACTTACATGAGACAGAAGCCAAAGCCTTAGGATGAGGTGGGCATGACTGATGAATGATGTTGCGTTGCTGTGTTGCTTCCTTGAGGAAACGTGTTGGGCATAAAAGCTGGCCGTGGAGCCTCAGAGATCCTGTAACATGGATCACCTGGCTTGGCACAGCCGCATTCATTGCTTCCTCCCCTCCTTGCTCTAGAGAGGATGTCTGGGTTTGCCATCTGTGCCTCTTCCCACCTGCATCCATCACACTCTGAGATGTTCTCTAAGACACATCTACTTCTCTAAACTAAGGCTCGAGTTCTTGAGATCCAGGGCAAAGCGGTCTCCTCCCCTCACCATGGTGCTTTGTCTTTTGTCTAAAAGCTCTTTGTCTTTTCTTTGTCTGATTGTGTTTATTGCGCTGGCTCAGATGATTATTATGGAGTTTACTCTGGATTCTACCATGTGCAGGGACCAGCTCCTCAACTGGGGGTGCCTCCCAGGATCTCAGACATGGCTTCCCCATGGTCAGAAAGACAGACTTTCCCTGGCAGGGTTGCTCCAATCTGCTTGGAACCGCCAATCTTTCAACCTGAGAAACATCTGTTTATTGAGATTTACAGAACATAAAGCAAATTGCCTCTTTTGGTGTTCAGGATGCACAACTATCTGGTACCCACTTATCACCCTGAATGAATCTGGTGTGAATGCACTATTTGAATCCTCTCCAGGAAATGTTTCTTTATGGCATTCACTTGGGTATTTATACTTGTGCCCAACTCAGGTACCTCTTCCATGATCTGCTCTATCAGTTTGAGTTCCATCCATCCTTCAAGCTGTCATTCAGTATTATTTATCTTGTGACTTCCTATGACCATCCCAGCTCACAGTGACCTTTCCCACTAGTTTGGAAATCTTACATAATTTGAACATATGCAAAAATAAAAAGTAATAATCTCATATTGCCAGATGAGGAGAGATGAACCCAGATGTCTGTCAGCCTGCTCTGTATACCTTAATAAGAATGACAAAAGCAAGACTGACACCTCAGAACAGATATATTTTCATGACAGAAATTCTATGAAATATGACAATGTCATGTCCACCAGCATTATGAAGATTCAGAACCAAACTCAAGAAAAACTATCCTTCACCTACTCACTTATGAGTCAGAGAAGAGTCTTGAAAAACCTTTCAGCAGAAAGCCATTGTAGAGAGTATGTTAATAATAATATCAATTTATATCAACTATCTTTCATAAGTAAGGCATGAGAAAAGACTTCTGAGAGTAACCAGGTGGAGATAATTCATCCACCCTGATCATGGGGAGAAATGAAATATTTAGCTAAGGAAAAGATTCTGTAACAAAGTAGAACATAACCCTCAAAAGAGACATCCAGATGATAACCTTTTAAAAATTTGTCATAGGCAAAAGAACTCAATTTTAAAAAGAGGTTGCTAGAACACACACAGGCAACTTGTGGAAGTTTCCTCAATTTCTGCCATTACCTAGGAAAGAACCTCTTACTTTTTCCCAGGTAGAAGGGTCTTCCTGTGGAGTTTGGGGAAGGATATAGCAGATACTTTTTTCGCATACACAATCCCAACAAATCCTCTATTTCCAGATCTTTGATCTATTTACCCTCTCCTTCTCGGGGGTTAGATCGGCTCTCCTTCCTCCCACTTTACATCCTCCAGGAATGTGTTGCAGTGCATGCCCTTTGAGTCCTCTTTCTATTATCTGCACTGTTTGGGTTCTAACTTTTCTAGTGTTTTACTGTCATCCCTGGGACATCATAAGTGAAAATAGACATGCATATCCAATCTGACAATTCCACTTGGAAGGCTCTTGACATTTTGAAGAGGTCAATACTGGATTCATGATGTATTCCAACTGAATTTATACATTTAATGTATAAATGGAATATATACATTATATATGTTAAATATATACATTAAATTATATGGAATACACACATTATATTATACATTTAATGACAAATGGAATATTTCATAAAATTCACTGAAAGTTTATTTGGAAGATTATATGGAACACCAAACAAGAAAATGCTAAAGCACAAGAATCTTGAGAGAATGGACTCGTAAGGCCAGATATTAGAAGATGCTATTTAGCTACAAAAACAAAAACAAAGATCGGAATGATTTGAGTAGACTGGCAGATTGGTGGGTAGAAAAGAAAAGCAAACCACACACTTAAGTATACAAAAGAATTCAATGTGCAATGGAAACATTATTTCAAATTGCCTGGGGAAAAATTAAGAATGATGATGGCAACTAGATGAATCATCTGGAAAGAAGATAAAATGAAGCATTGCTCAGCAGTATACACTAGAATATATTTCAAATAAACTACAGAGTTACAGATTTGCTATGGTTTGAAGTGGCTTGTTCCTCCAAAGATTCCTGTAACAGAGGCTTACTCCTCAGTGTGGCAATGTTGAAGACTGTGGGGGTGTTTAGATGTGAAGTCTACTGCAAGGTCACTACAATCCCATACGCTGGTGCCTACCTTGTCCTGTGACCTCTTGCTCCCCATGAGCTCCTGCAATTGTGATTCCACCTGCTGTGATGTGACCCAGGGACAAGGATCCTCACCAGAGCCAGCACCATATTGTTTAGATTTTCAGCCTCCAAAGCCACAAGCTTAACAAATCTCTTTGCTTTTCAAATTATGCAGTCTCAGCCATTTTGTTATAATAACAAAAAAGACAGACTGACATGATCCTGAAGAGAGAATGAGAAAAAGCAGCAAAACAAGATAAAATTTATCCAAGCTCAGAGTGACAGGGGCATTAATAATAAAAAGGGAAAAAAATTCAAAAGAAGAAACTTGATATTAATGATTAGAGAAAAAGGAAAAGCTTCTGTAAGATTAGGGGGGAAAACCTTTAAAGATCTAGATGAATCAAATGAAAGGACTGAGGCAAGAGGACTGCAAGTTCAAGCCAAGCTTGGGTAACTTAGTGACTTAGCAAGACCCTGTCTCAAAATAAAAGAAGGGCAAAGGATGTAGCTAAGGGTGAAAGCCCCAGGAGAACAAGAGACTAAAGATGTGGAAACATAATTTACATCAGAGGAAACAGAAATGATCAAGAAGCATACCCAATTTCTCCAGTCAGCCAAGAAACAAAAATAGCAAGACATCATTTTTAACCACCAAACTGGCAAACAACAATTGCCAGGGTTGGTTATAGTTGAAGTCAAATAAGCAACTTCATTCACTGTTGGGGTGTGTGTGTAAATTCCTGCAGCTTTTTTACAATGGAATTTAGTCATTTGTATTCTTTGAATCCTTAATATACCGATGCTCCTCTGCTTATCATGAAGCTATGTTCTAATTAACCCATATTAGGTTCTAACCTAGCAAACTCCCTGGCTGAGCAACAAGTTCACTGTAAAGTCTCAGTTGTTTCCACTTACAAGCATGTGACTGGCCAAGATTTGTGACACACTGGTGTTGCCCAACTTTGAGAGAGACACTATTCCACATATTGCTAGCCTAGGAATGGATCAGAATTCAAAGGTCAGAAGTACATTCTCTACTGAATGCGTATTGCTTGCACGCTATTTTAAAGGTGGATAATCATAAGTCAAACCATTCTAAGTCAGGAACTGTATTTATATTTTTCAGTCCATTAAATCACCATCTAGGAATTTCTCCTAGAGAAATATTTATAGATGTGCACAAAGATATACAATGCAGTTTTATTTGTAATAACCAACGATTTCAGTTGACACAGCTCCCTAACAAGATTTGTTAATCATTGTGTATCTGAGTGCTGTAATACTTCATATCCATAAGTTTTAAATTATACTTACTGACTTTAGGAAATGTTTTAGCTCTAGTAGGTGAAACAGCACATTTAAATGTGTGTAATATGATCTCAATTTTGCAAAGAGAAATTTAAACACATACACATTTTTTTAAAAATCTATACCAAATGTTAATGGTGATTATCTCTTGGTGGTGGCATATGGGTGATTTAAATTTTCTTTCTTATATTTCTATGTATTTTCCAAATTTCCTACAAAGCATATGCCATCTTTATAAACAGAAAACATACTTTTAAAATATGCATAATGGTTTTTCTAAATCAGATTTTTAGTTTCTCAAGGGCATTTTTTTATTAAACACATCATCCATAGCAGCATACCTCCTTCAGGTTTTGGGCCCACCGGTCTTTTTAAATGTAGTAGATAACGGGAAAAAATATTGTGAAGAAGCTACGCTTTAGGACTTTTGTTTTCCTTTTCACAAGAATATGTAGCATATTTTCAAAACATTGAATCATCACCTAAAACTTGTTTTTTTATGTGTGTACATGATAAATATACCACTTCCTTTTCTGAAGAGAGAGAAGAGGGAAGGAGGAAAACAGGGAGGGAAGGAGGAGAGGCTGGCAAAGCATTGCCTAAAAGGGTTAATTTCAGGCAGTTAAGGCCACCTGTTCAGTGTCTGCCACATGGCCTTCATTTCAAAGGCCTGCAAGGCTCACCCGCTCAGGAAAGGGATTTTGCTTTCCAGTGGATATATACACAAAGGCAGGCCCAATGCAAATGAGAAATTCCTGGTTCACAAATAAACATTTCTTAAGTAATCCAGACAATGAAATGGATGATAGCCTTTTCTACCAGAACTTTTTGTAATTATGTTTTTATTGTCTTTTCAGAGGAAACGAAAAAAAAAGCTAACATATAATTGGCTAAAAGAAATAGAGGTAATAAACCAAACCAGAAAATGTCTCAAGGAAATGTATGTCTAAGGTAAGATACCCTTAATATGGAAATCTATTATGTTGTGTTGCAGTTATATAATTACCTTCACATGCTCTTTTGGCTGTGGAGAGGTTCAGTGTGGAACCATAATGCAGAGAACAATGGGGAGATTTTTTGACAAAGAACTCTGGAACAGGTGTGTGTGTGTGTGTGTGTGTGTGTGTGTGTGTGCGCGCGCGCGCGCGCGCCCACGAGCATGTATGCACAAGTGTGGGTGTGTGTTAACAAGCTGTTTAACAAGTTATCTCACAAAAACTCTGTAGCCCAGAAGATTAATTACTAAATACACACACACACACACACACACACACACACACACAGAGACCACACATTCTCCAAATGATCAGTAGATGGAGGCAAGTGTGGAGTGAAATGGCTAGTGATATACCATTGTAACTTCAACCTATTAACAGAGCTTGAATTGGCCATTCTAAAGGGCTAATCAGATTCATGATTCTGCTCCTCAGCCCCTTCACAGCAGTGCTTTGAGTAGTCAGCACTACTGAAGGGAGAGAATATCATTCCCCTCCTATATTAGGGCAGAGAAAGGTTAAGAGCTGCTGACACTGATAAAAATAGAAAAGGCAAGCTCATCTAATCTGTGAGCAAATGATTGCTAATATTTTGATGACAGAATCATGCTCTAAACTGATCTTGACACAGTGAAATGAAGAGATAAATGTACCAAGGTGATAATTAGAGAGACGTGTTAAGCCCTACCCTTGGGCCCAAAGATCAATTGCATAAACACGGGGGAAGGTGGATAAGGCTAAAAGGAGGTTCTGGTGAAAAGTGCTGAGGAACCCCAGGTTCCACTGTGGGTGCCAAGCACAAATTCAGTCCTAAGCTCCCTAGAATGGAGACGTTGTCTCTTTTCTAGTGCTTGGGCTACAGAATAACCAAAGGCTGGGGCTAGTTCCCCAGGTTCCCTACTGGAGGGGATATAGGTCAACAGAGCAGATTCAGAAAGGTTCAGGCCAATAGAGCACGTTCAGCAGGTTTTAGGCTATGGTACGGGGGGAAGAAGTGTTACTTCTAAACAAGGAATGCCTTGGGAAGAAATGGAAGGGCATGAATTACCTCCAAAGCTTAGAAGAACATGAAAGAATCTTGTCCAGACTGGTAAGAGCCCTATCCCTGTGCTTTTGTAGCACTATAGCACATTTCTACTGTGGTGTAAATGTATCTATGTGTTCATTTCCTCCCATACAACTGCAAGCTCTATGAAGGCCGAGATGATAGTCTACTTTCTTTGACCCCTCAGCATATAATAAATTCTTAATAAATGTTTGTTCACCAGAAAGAGGACACTTAGATTTCCTAGAGGTGGGTAGCATTGAAATCATGTAGCTAGAGGCAGATGACAGCTCACTATAAAGAGCTGCTAAGCCATAAAGTTGACAAGATGAAATAAATGGCAGACCTCAGGAAGGAATGCTTTTGACTACAAGCTCCATAACTACTGAGAAAGCTAGAAGGAGCTCCACATTTAAATGGATAGGTGGAGTAGATGATTCTAACAGTGGTATCCTCCAAGTTTGATTTGTGATGCTATCCAAGGCTGCACAATATTCTTCTTTAAAAGGAAATATCTTGCTAAGAACAGCCAGAGCTTTAAGAGAGATGTGAAAGCTATTTCTGGTTTCCTTTGTCAGATGAGTAAAGTACCATCATGGGATGAAGACCCTGCATTTAAGTCTCTTTCTCTCAGTTCATTCCACATCCTAACTCTCCTCTTGGATTTCATGTGGTCCTGACTTAAACTCCTTTCTCTTGCTTGCTGTGAGCCTTCATCACAAAATTTCCAACTGGGGGCTGGGGATTTAGCTCAGTGGCAAAAGTGCTTGCCTGGCAAGTGCAAGGTCATGAGTTCGGTTCCCGGTACAGGAGAAAAACCAAAAAAAAAAAAAAAAAAAAAAAAACATAGAAAAACCAACTGGGCTGGTAACTTCTTCTTGACCTGTAATTCTTTCATGCTTGCCATCTGGAAATCCCCACTCTAAATACAGCGTAGGATTCTGCAGACTGGGTCATAATGGGAAAGACCACTTGGAGTCTGTTTTACCTAGTGCTCTGATGTTAAGTGTGTGAGGTGAGAGGTAAAGGAAATGGCCTTGACACAGAAGGGAAGACTGCTACCTGATATTCTTACCACCAGTCCCTGGGCAGGGCCACCACACTGCACAACTGCAGGGCACTGGGTGCATACAATCCAAGTAGCCTTACACATAGCAGTAGCCCTGACTCTGGAGTCCCAGTGCAGACAGTAGTCCCAAGGGAAAGAGCCCAAACATGGATGGGTCACCAGATGGCACGAGAATTCCCAGGAAGCAGTTCAGCCATGGCAGGTCTTTCAAGAACATGCCTGATACACTCAGTGGAGCCCCAGTATTCTGAGTCTCATGAGGCTACTTCCTCTGCCCCAAAGAGAAAGAAAACTTAGCAAGGGTTATAGCATTATAAAAGCTCTCTTCCATGGCTTCAGTGCCCCAAAAGCCAATGACCACCACTGTCTCCAAACTACTCCTCCCCTGTTCCATTCTGGATTTAGATTTAGATGAGAAATGTCAAGAGGGAAATGCCCAATTTCCAGGGTTTGGGGCTACAGGAGAATGCATAATCCAAGGGAGAACAAAGTGCTCCTCTCAGGGACTTAAAATTTTTGCTATTTTCATAGTAAATTGTCTTTAATATTTTAAAAAATATTTTATTTGTAATTGATGATGTGATATATACAGTGAATGATTAAATCAAACTAGCATATCTATATTTTACATGTTCATTTTTTGTAGCAACATTTAAAATATACTCTTTCACCAATTTTAAAATAACGCATGACATTGTTATGAACTATGCTCACCATGCTATGCAAATAGATCTCTAAAACTTATTCCTTCCTGTCTAATTACATTTAGTATCCTTCCACCATCTCACATTCTCCACTCCCAACTCCCCAGCCTCTAGGAACCACCCTACTACTCTCTCCTTCTGCAAGCTCAACTTTCTAGACTCTACACAGAAGTGAAATCATGTGGTGTTTATCCTTCTATGCCTGGTTTGTTTCAAGTAGCATAAAACACTGCAGGTTCATCCATATTGTCATAAACGATAGAACTTCATTCTTTTTTAAGGCTTGTATTCCATTATGAAGACATACCACATTTTCCATATGCACTCATCCACTGATGAACACCAGCTGATTCCATATCTTGCCTACTTGGAAATAGGTTGCAATGAATATGAAAATGCAGATATCTTTTCGACATGTTGATTCCAGTTCCTTTGAGCATACACCCAGAATTAGGATTGCTAGATCATATGGTAGTTCTGTTTACAGTCTTCTAAGGACTCTCCATGCTGTTTTCCATAAAGGCTATACTAATTTACATTCATACCAGTATCTTTCTCCACATTCTTGCCAATATTTGTTAGCTTTCATATTACTGAAAGTAGTCCCTCTAATAGAAGTAAGATATATCTCACTGTTACTTTAATCTGCATTTAACTAAGTATTAGTGATATTGAGCATCTTTTTCAAGTAACTGTGGACCATTTATATGTCTTTGTTTGAAAAACATCTATTTATAAGCTAGGAGTAGTGACACATGCCTGTAATCCCAGCACCGAGACGGATGGCCATGAGTTGGAGGCCACCCTGGGCTACACAATGAGTTTAAGGCCAGCCTGGAATACATAGTGAGACCCTGTCTTGAAAGAAAGAAAGAAAGAAAGAAAGAAAGAAAGAAAGAAAGAAAGAAAGAAAGAAAGAAAGAGAGGAAAAAGAGAAATGTCTATTCAGGCCCTTTGCATATTTTTTTCATTTTTTTAAACTGGTTATACAGATTAATGGGTTTCATTTCAGCAGGTTTGTGCATATACAGAAGATACTATTATCATTTTCACCTCCTCATGACCTCTTTGCCCTATTTTCTCTCCTAGCTTCACATTGGGGGTTAATGCATATGTAATATATTTTCACCATATCAATGTCAATCCCCCAGCCCCCCTCACCCACCCTTGTACCCCTCCTCTTATTCCATTCCTGCCCTTCCTTCTGTCTAATAACAGTCTCCCTCTACTTTCTTTTTGGTTTGGCTTTCTTTTGTTTTGTTTTGTTTTTGAGACAGGGTCTCATTATGTAGTGCAATCCCTCTACTTTTTTGTCATATTTTTAATTTTTTTTTATTTTGGGGGTACTAAGAAACAAACTCAGGACCTCACTCTTACCAGGCAGGTACTGCACTGCTGAGTTATATCTCCAGCCCCTTTTCATCTTTTTTACATTCCACATATTAGGGCATCTTCTTCATTTTCTTTCATCAATGCTTTATAATTTCCAGTGTACAGATCCTTTAGTTCTTGATTAAATTTACTTCTTTTTTGGTAGCTATTATAAATGGAATTGTTTTCTAACTTATTTTTAGGATAGTTCATTGATAGTGTTAGAAATGCTACTGATATTTGTTCACAGAATTTTAGATTAGGTCCCATATTCTTTGCCAGGAAGCCTTTGGCATTTTCAAGAGGCACTGAAGCCTTTACATGCAGTAATGGATTAGTGCCGGGTGAAGAAGGAATTTATAGCTTAACCAGGGGAGAGAACAGAGGCTGGGAAGAAATTAAATTGCTTAGCTTTCACACTGTAATGTCAACAATTAAGTTCTAAGGACAGCAGTTCCCTCTGCACAGACCTATTTCAAAAAATCCCATTACTTGATTGTTGAATGACCCAAATGCATCTTAGCCAGCTCACGGACCACAACCTGTCCCTCTCCATGTCACAGAAGAAAAGTGCTCCTTCAGTGAGCTGCTTCACGCTCAGGTGAACAGCAGAGATAAAGCAGGACTCATTTTAAATAGAGAGCAGGAGTATTCCCAGGCAGACAGAAGCCAGACACAGGGGCAGTGTGCCTGTGTGAATGTGTGTGTGCATTTGTGAGTGTGAGGGAATCAGAAGGTTAAGAGTTCCTAAAATAACATACCAAACC